CTGGACCGGGGAAGCTGCCCCTCGGGGCCGCGGGACCAACCGGGCCCCATGGGAGCTCCTCTGCCCCCGGCTTCCCGGATTCAGCCGCTGGTCAGTTTCAGCGGCGGCTGACTTGGGGACACCTGGGGCAGAGCAGCTGGGGTGCTGCCCGGTTGGTCCCCGCTGCCCCGCCCCTGTGGGGACCTACCTGGTAGCGCCCCAGCTGCTCTGTCCTAGGCGTCCAGATTCAGCTGCTGTTGAAACTGATCAGCGGCTGATTCCAGGCAGCCCAGGGCAGAGCAACTCTGCCTCGGCCTTCCTGTAGTCAGCCGCTGGTCAGTTTCAGCAGCGGCTGAATCTGGAAGCCAGTTCCGACTTACATACAAATTCAACTTAAGAACAAAACTACAGTCCCTATCTTGTACGTAGCCCGGGGACTGCCTGTATATGATTCTCTCAGTAAAATGACTGATCAAGTATTATTTTCTCAACTACAGTTGGTTAATTGTGTAGTAAAGGCATTCTGATTTGCTGTGAATTACATCATAAAGCGTTTTAATGTGCTGCAAATAGACATAGGAGAAACCTTAAAGAGCGGCTTGTGGATTGCAAAACTGGGCGTCACTTCAGTACAGCAACAAAATATTGAGAAGCATGTAATAAAATGACTGATCAAGTATTATTTTCTCAACTACAGTTGGTTAATTGTGTAGTAAAGGCATTCTGATTTGCTGTGAATTACATCATAAAGCGTTTTAATGTGCTGCAAATAGACATAGGAGAAACCTTAAAGAGCGGCTTGTGGATTGCAAAACTGGGCGTCACTTCAGTACAGCAACAAAATATTGAGAAGCATGTAATCGTTATATTTACTCACATGCCAAATGTAAGGGAGACTCACTCATTGTTCTCCAGTATGGTCAGATAGGGCCGTGGTCCCCAACACGGTGCCCGCGGGCACATGGTGCATGGTGAGCGCCGTTCCCGGGAACGCCGCGGATTGGCCACCCGTGCTCTGGGCGTGCGGTGCTTTGGGGGGGG